ACACACACACACACACACACACACACACACACACACACACAGTCAGATGCACAGAGACATACACACAGAGACAGAAAAGGATACATTGCTATACCTGGTTGTATGTATTCTGTTTGAATTGCCACATGGTCATCTCTGTCAGGCCTTGTATGCTCATGCCAAAATCCAACCACATGTCCAAGTTCATGCACTACTACACCAAACTTGTCACAGTTTTTACCAATTGATATAGCTTGTGCACCAGTGCCTCGTCTTCCAACAAAAGAACAGCACCTGAACAATATCAAAAACAAGACCAATTTGACATAATTCTGAACAACGTTAATGTTATGTCCATGAACTACACGAGGCTAATAAGTGTTAGGGAGTTAGCCTAGTGTAAGATATGGCGCCCTCAGCGTCCATACTGATAACCTGCTTGTTTATACACTTAATGTATGCAGCCTCTTTCTGACCTCAGGGTGGATTATAGATGTGCTGTCAGTGTTCAGTCACTCGTCTTGCCATTAATTATCTTCAATGAACAATAAGTAACAAAAACAATAAGTGTTTTACTAGACTTTATTTCTAATAATTGACGTACAGTGTTCCACGCACGATAGCTGACATTCCACTAACACCTAGAATCCATGCAGTGTTCCACTTGTTATGCCCGACACTCCACTAATTAACATCTAGAATCCATGCAGTGTACCACTTGTTATGCCTGACACTCCACTGAAACCTAGAATCCATGCAGTCAGGTGTTCCACTTGTTATGCCTGACACTCCACTGACACCTAGAATACATGCAGTCAGGTGTTCCACTTGTTATGCCTGACACTCCACTGACACCTAGAATCCATGCAGTCAGGTGTTCCACTTGTTATGCCTGACACTCCACTAATTAACATCTAGAATCCATGCAGTGTTCCACTTGTTATGCCTGACACTCCACTGACACCTAGAATCCATGCAGTCAGGTGTTCCACTTGTTATGCCTGACACTCCACTAATTAGTCCCCGTTCGGACGCAGTCCGAAAACGGGGACTTATGTTTTGCCCTGTGTGCGTCCGTCCGTGCGTGCGTCCGTGCGTCCGTGATCACCTGTATCTCGAACATGCATGGACCGATTAAGTTCAAACTTCACTCATACATCACACATTATATGGGACATATGCACATGCATTTTTTTCATGATCGGATTAACGATAGCCGAATAGCGGCCATTTTAAGGCCGAAAATGCATCAAAATCGCACATTTTCACCATTCTGGACCCGGATCTCAGTTATGCATGGACGGATTTTGTTCAAATTTGGTACATACATTAAACATAATTAAACCCGATCCAAAAAAAAAATGACGTGCATCAA